AATCTTGAGTTTTAAGTATTATGTATTAATAAATAGTACTTTACGCATAAAAAATGGGTTTTAAGAGTTTTTGTTAAATGATTTATAATATAGAATATATTTTTTAATTTATAATTTAATTTAAATATAATAATAAAACAATTTATTTTTGGTTTAATATTATAAATTTTATAAAGATAATAATTAAATATTTTGTTAGAATTTAATGATTATACTAATTATATTTTAGATTTTTTATATTTAAAATGAGATGTTTATCATGTATTTGATTGTTTTATTTGCAGTTAGTTACACGAATTCAGATATGTGATGAAATCGTTTAGGGATGAACGGTTTTAAGAGTTTTAGCCAAATGCTTTATAAGATAGTATAGATAAATATGATAAAAAAATGTTTCTTTTTCATATTTGAATTTTTTTTCAAATTTAAAAAAATTTACACTCTCTTATGTTTTCTTAATTTTGAAGAAAGTTTTAAGAAAGCAAAAATATGTCCAAAATCTCTATTTTTTTTATTTTGAAGAATTTGTTGGAGATGGTATTAAATTACTGTTTAGAGCATCTTGAACAAATTAATTATTCAAAATGGATAATCAAAAGTCAAAGATATCCAAATAAAATTTACATTCATCTTCAACTTCTTTATTTTGAAGATTAACACTATGAATTATATTATTAAAATATTCAACATCTTTTATAAAATATTATTTCTTTCTCTTATATATTTAATTTCAAGGATTCTTATCGGTTGAAAATAAAAAATAATCTATCTTTCATATGTAATTAATTTTTGAGAATTCTCCAAATTTGAAGAATTATAATATTTCTCTCAGACTTTGCTTATTTTTTGCGGAAATTGTTGGAGCAAAAATCTCTATTTTAGAGATTTTGTTGGATATATATATTGAGCAGAAGATGAAATGATCAAAGTTTAGTCGATGCGAAACTCTAACATGCTCCTTCTTCAATGGAGGCTAGACAGACACAGAAAGAGAAAGCTGATAGGTTAAGCATATGACATGTGCAAATAATACACAAGGATCCATTTTATTAAACAAAAAACAATAACTTACATTAATTGATAATAATAATAATAATACATTTATGTACAAAAGATTTCATTTACGATTCATATATTTGATTAAACATAATACATCATCCCAACTTCAATGAGGCTGATGTGAGGAATGTGCAGCGCAACCGCAGGCCGCCTGCAGTTCTTCCGTAAGAAGGAATACACCACATCGATCACAAACTTCTTCAACAACGATGAAGCCTTCCTAGCCTTTATGTAGGAGAACCCCGTTATGTATGCAACCCCCGCCTCTTTGGCCTCCACCAATGCCAATAGCTCATCCCGAACCCCACCATCCACATCCCCATTCCTTGGCGCCACTTCAAACCTCACTCGTCTCCTCGGATTCATTTCTTCTGCTGCCTTTTCCTCATCGTACCAACCCCTCAGAATCTTCAGTCTCGATGATTTCATATTTTCTGTAGGATCCACGTGATCCGAGATGATCAATGCAGGCCTTGATTCTATCGACCTAACATCACATTTGATTGTAGTCATAACCTTCTTCTACTTAGACCCCAAACCAACACAAACCAAACCAAACCAAACCAAACCAGACATTTTGTTCGTCGAGATAATTGCATTTTGATTGATACCTTGGAATCCACCTTTACTTAAAACAAGCCCATTACCCTCTCCCAAATCCCATTTTCTACCCATATGCCAAAGGAATCCATGCACCCAAGTAAAACTAATTTAAAATGTTCAATCAAGCCAGGAATAGAAACTGACCTGCTGCTTATGACCGCCATTCGTCCATCAAACGATGAAGCCTCGGAGTTCGGTGATTGAGGCTCGACTGCTTCCATTTGTATAAACTCGGCTATGCTTTGTGTCAGTTGATTCTCAAAGTTTTCGTCGTCTTTTGGGATGTCTTTATAACCATATCTCATAATGCACCTGTACATACGATAAGGCCTCGGGCACACACGCCCGATCAGGTACCGTTCATCAAGTGAAACAAAGGGTACCGGAACGTATTTCACGCATACAAACACCAAAACATTGTGAAAAGCAGGTAGATTCATCACAAAATGCGAAAAAATGGATGGGATGCCTGTCGCAAGTTCAGAGTATATGAGGCCTATTCCAGGCACACGAACAATACCCAAGCTTGGTCCAAGGTTCAGAAGCCATTTCAGTTGAACTTTATTGTGCATATCGTGTTTGTATTTTCTTCGAGTACCATAATGCCACACAAACATGATGAACATAAACACACAGGCAAGCAAAAGAGACACCCAACCTCCTTGAGGAGCTTTTCTGATTGCAGCCGATAGGTACACACCCTCGATGAACCCAAAAAAGAGAAGAAATGACATGCCATATATAACGTTTTTCTGCCACACGAAGGTTATAACGAGTCCCATGAGAAAAGTTGTGATGAACATAACCGTCATGCACGCAAGCCCTGCCAGCAATCAAGTTATTCTTGTAATGAAGATGTTCCAAACTTAAAACTACACAATTGCAAGAAACATGGATACAACATTTTTCAGAAAGATTTCCAAGTTAAAATTATCCATTTGCCGACTTCATCTTTACAAATTAGGACTGTCCATCTTGCCTACACAAGCATCATCAGAAAAGATGGGCAATTCGAATCAGTAACACAAGAGTTGATGTCATATTTTTAACTTACCATAAGCATTTCCAACTTGAGTTGTGTCCTGGAATCCAACAGTGATCAAAAGAGTAAGAATCATGAGGATCCAGTTAATTTCTGGTATATAGATCTGGCCGAACATGTGTTTAGAAGTGTGGACAATTTTGACCCTTGGAAAAAAACCAAGGGCATGACATTGTTTGACAATGGAGAAGGTAGCTGTAATGATAGCTTGACTCCCAACAACAGCTGCTAAGTTAGCAAGTGCAAAAACAGGCCAAAATATCGGCTCTGCAAGACAAAATTCACAAGATACTATCATTGCAACAAAAGTGTTCTTTGTATCTGGACTATAATTATGTGTGTAACACTAACCCTATACTAAAATTGCTAGAGTAGTTAAAATAAAAGCAAAAGGACTGACCAGGTATAGATTTGTAGAAACTGTCGGGAATGGAAGTAATGTTTTTAGACAAGTAAGCGGCCTGACCCATGTATTGTATAACCAAACAAGGGTACACAAAGAATCCAAATGCAAGCTGCACAGATGGGTAAGTATTAAATTTACCACAACAAGAGGCAAATTGGTTATTTATCAGAAAAAAGATAATTTTAAAGGATGCTACAGGTTTATGAGATTCCATTTTCTATCATTTTACCCATGCTTAATTTATATTTCCAACTCCTTCATTCACAAACCAAAAAGAGGGTAGATGCCACCAGTCCCAGTCTTCTTTTTTTTTTGGGGAGGACGACCTCACACAATTGGCTTACATCCATGCCTTTGCCACTAGGCTAGATCGCCAGAACTTCATTCACAAACCATAAAGCCTGTATTTAAGATTTTTCTCCAAAGCTATGGCATTGATAAAGGGGCAACCACAGGGTTCCATAAACTAGCCCAAAGAAGTGATCATTAAGAAACTCATTTTCAACACGCCATCTGTAGCACCATTGGTAGACTTACTCTTATTGAGGAGGCAGTAAAATGGCCAAGATCTGCAAACATAGCTTCAGTTCCTGAGCAAAATATTCCAATAGTTAGTACACCCACTGCTTTGCAAACAATATCTCTCAACATTATGTCACCTTAGAGAATTGATTCGATGACAATCAATCATCTACACTAATTGTTAACAATGGACGTATTTTGTATTCCAAGGTTGGGATATAGTTCTAGAACCTCCTAGAAATAGCCTTTTCGCTGAAAATCTCAGATATTATAATTCAATCATGTTAAGTGTCGAGGAAAGTCATATACCTGTTATGGAGAGAAGGACTCCCCCAAGTGAAATCCAGCCTTCTTTACGAGTTTCACTAAAGAACTTGATTATATAATGCGGAGAAAATGCATGAACAATCTTCGGGTTCCAACGTATGATATTATATAGCCCGATAGAAAATATTGAAACCAACCACAAAATAATAACCGGTGCAAAGACAAAAGCCACCCTGTGAGTACCAAAGTGTTGTAGAGCAAACAGACCGACCAATACAACACATGCCAATAATACTAGTTGCCCTATCAAAAGATTCAAAACGAGAAAACAATGACCAAAAAGAGAGCACTGTTCAATAAATTATATTAAAAGGTTCTCATTCTTTTCCAATATCAACAGAAGATTTCAAGAATGAGAATTGAAGAAAACTTGAACCTCGATGATTAGTTACCATGAGTTAACGCTACTCCCACACCTTTGACTTGAAATGCTGATACGGCCGATAAAACTGCACAGGAAACAACCATAAAAGATTAACCCTCTTCTGCCTGCAAACAATACTCAAAAAATAAGTGACAATGAAGTTGTGAACTATGCTGATTTTTCATGCGTAATGACCAACAAAATACTCCCTTCAACCCACAAAAAATGCAACATTTGACTAGGTGCACAGTTAAAGTACCCTTTGCTAGAGACAGAATAAAAGAACTGTATGGACCCACATTGATACCAAGTTTATGGGAAATGACAAGAAAGGAAAGCAATGCAACTTTCATGGAATGATCCGAGAATCAAAGTAAATACTAAGTTCATGTTGTACACTTCAAAATAGGTAAACAGATCATTTCTTTAGAGATGGAAGAAGATATTATCACCAACAGAATCCAATTCGACCACGTTCAAATAGCATTTACCAGAGATTGCAGGAGTTATCACACCATCACCAATGACCATTGAAGCTCCCAACAGTACCACAACAAGTAAAGTTGTGCGTGATTTTTTATGCCTCTCCAGAAAACGATGCAATGACGAAGAGGATGGAGGGTGTCCTGAAGAACCGTATTTGTAAGAAGACAACTCCTCATCAGCTGCTTGTTGATTGGGAAGTAAACTAAACTTTGCATGCCTGCAGAGTAGTGAGTAAAGAGCAAATGTTCCACCTGAAATGTATTGAATTTGGCATTTTTGACATTAGATACAATATGGTAGAGGACCCAACATGCAATTTACGGATATGAGAGACTGTTTTGGCACACCTTCACCACAATCATCTGCACTCAATACAATACACGTGTATTTCAGAAGTGGGATTAATGTTAAGGCCCAAAAGATCAAGGAAAATGCCCCAAAAATAACTTCCGGATTTTGATGATTTTGCAGAGCGACAGCAAACACACTTCTATAGACGTACAGAGGTGAAGTGCTCAAGTCTCCATATACAACGCCGAAACTTTGATATGCCAACAATAAATTTCGTGGAAGAAGGAAGAAAAACTGCATTCCTAACTGTATGTGAAGACGGTCAATTTTGAGCCATACAGAAGGATAGAGAACATGGAAGATGTAACGGTTTTTTTTTTTTTTTTCAAAGATCTATATTACTGAATCATAAAAGTGGAAGAAGTGAATTTGAATGGTAGATATTTGAGGAAAGCAAGTTACATGTACTATAACCTTGTCTCTTTTACCCAAACTATCAACATATTTCATTTCTTCATACACATCTGATGAAACAAGTTTTATTTGTTTACAACATCTGTTGTCACATTTTTATTTCTTCCACCCACAAAATGGAAAAGTTACATGGCCAAAATGAACAAAACCCAAGACCTTTTTTTTAATGAAATGGTCTATTACATAAAATGCACCTACTTAAACAACTTCATGCGATAACTAGAATGCTCGTGATAATAATTTCAAATCATGTGGAAAGTATCTGCATTTTGCTAAGCATGAGACCGAAAGTAAAATGAAATGAAGGAAACCATTGGCCTCTATTTCATACATCTTTTAGAATCATCGACTTTCTTCGAAAGACATGCTTTGAAGTTTGAAAAAATCAGATGAGAAAGAAAATGAAAAACGGATAACTTACTAAAGCAGATGGAATCACGGAACCAATGAAATCTGAGGTTCAAAAGAACAAACAGAATAGATGTAGTGGCAAAAGTAAAGAATATGTAGATTATATAGCTTTTCACACTACAACTTGAAATATTTCAGGGTGCTGAAGAGTAATGTCTAGGACAAGTAATCTAACCTGAGATGTTGAGGTCCCAGTTTGAGGCTCCATTGGCATCTACAGTAACCTGACTGGCTAAATAATATTCCAATCTTGATAAAGAGAAACATGATTGATCAGTTAGGCCAATTACCCCACGCCATAGGTAAACAATCTTTATTGATTTCTCAAGAACATTTCCTATTTCCTCAAGTGTATATATAGTTATGTTTGATGTTTCGTATTAATATTCTGTAACTTGGCAGAAAAATGGTTCAAGGAGTCGTTAAAGCATGCAACTTTCAACTCGACACATGGTTATGATTATTGTCAAATAGTGACCAATTAGAGAAATGTTGTAGAGTAAAAGCAGTAGAAACAACCATATGTGACAATGAGAATGTACACACAAGTACTTTTGGCTTGCAAGTTTCATCCAACATCCTAGAATGCATAAAAACTGTTGCAATTTGATGGGATTAGATAGGGCAGTTTGTGATGTCCATCCAAATCACATCCTGCTTTTTCATATCCATTTGATTGGGCTTTAGTAGAAATTAGAAACACTTGCACAAAGACGTGAAGACCCAGTTAGCGTATAGCTGAACTAGCAGTGAAGAGTATAAATATGTGAATGATATTGCAATCTTACGCCCAAATAATCATATAATCCAAATGCAGTGTAGTGAGAGGCAAGAAAAAGTTAAAAAGAAGAGAGAATGGAGCAGGAAGTGGAAGAATGTGAAGTGATGGTTTGCTTAATGTATTTAGAAAAGCAAACATCCGTAAGTAATGAAATAATGTGACAAACTTGAAGCATTAAACAAGGAAAGGCGCAATATTTAAAAAATTAAGGTTCAGCAAAATTTGAAGAAAATTGTATCCATGTGATTGAAGAAAAATGATGGAGAACACAAAATTTAGTCAGTAATGAAAAGCTGATAATAGAAACAAGTTATGAGTGATTGAATAAATATTTAATTGGGCCCTAATAAAATTGGTGATAACAAACACAAAAGCATTATTTTTAAGAAACAAATGTTGAGATGGAACCTGAGAGAGAGAGAGATTGTTGAGGAAGAAATGTAATCAACTGAGAATCGAAGAAGGAAACAAGAACCTGAACAAGAATTGGGAATGCAAATACTTTGAATCGTGTTTTTGTTGCTTATGTTTCTTTCATTTCTACTATTCTCGTTTTTCTTGTTTTTCTTTTTCCTTTTTTGGGAGGTTTAATACTATTAAAATTAAAATGGACATACATAAATCAACACATACATTTAGCTTATCCCATGCACATAAATAAGAATATTTGTTTTCATAAATAAATATTTAAATTTATTTACATCATATATTTTATTTATTAAAAAATTATAGTATTAAATTTTTACATAATTTATTTTCATTATCATTACAAAATTTATATCTAAATTATATAATTAATATTTATTTAAATAAATGTATATATATCATCAACAATAATTAACAAACTTATTAAATTCTATTAAATAAAATACGATGATCGAATCACTCAGAGGACCCGACGGCCCTCTAAAATGAAACCACCGTTTTGACTTGTGATGATGAATAAAAATGGAATCAAAAACACCTTCACCAATCCATTCTCCATTCTGAATCGCCCTTTCAGACACACTCGATGTTTCAACAAGATCCCATTCGGTAAGCAGTTTTCTTGATTTTCTTTCAACTCCTTTTCTTCTTCCACCACTGTATGATAGATATAGATGGATCCACCACAATCAAATTATGGTTATTTCGCAGACGAGATTATCCTCGAAATCTTAGCAAGATTACCCATCAAATCTCTGTTTCGAACCAAGTGCGTTTGCAAACTCTGGTACAAATTAGCCTCACACCGATCATTCACCCTAGCTTACAATGAATTGTCTGTGAAAAATGTTATGGTTCTTGTGGAAGTTACAGAATCATCCACAGAATCAACCTCAAGTCTGATTCTGATTGATAACAAGAGGGGCGTGTCTGAATTCTCCCTGGATTTTGTGAAAGATAGAGTCAAAATTAGGGCTTCTTGCAATGGATTACTGTGTTGTTCTAGTGTTCCTGATAAGGGTGTTTATTATGTTTGTAATCCCATGACTCGAGAGTTTAAATTGCTTCCAAGGAGTCGAGAGCGTCCCATCACTCGTTTTTATCCGGATGGGGAAGCAACCCTTGTGGGTCTTTGTTGTGATTTGTTAAGCAATAGATATAATGTTGTTTTGGCGGGTTATCATCGGATGTTTGGTCATAGACCGGAGGGGAAACTGATATGTTGGGTGTTCGATTCTGAGTCGAATAAGTGGCGAAAATACGTTTGTGATGAAGATGATCATGGGTTTACGCATATGAATCGGAATCAGGTTGTGTTTGTGAAGGGGTGTCTCCATTGGATGACTCAAAGTTTCAGTTACATTCTTGTTCTTGATTTGAAGTTGGATTTATGGAGAAGGATGGTGTTGCCTGCTGAAATGGGATGTGGGAACGGAAGCGGGAATAGGGTGTACTTGTTGGAATCACAAGGGAAACTGTCGGTGATTCAGATATGTAGCGGGTGGATGAACATGTGGGTGTTGGAAGATTATGAAAAAGGGAAATGGGATTTGATGGATCGTGTGAGTTTGCGTTGTATTCGTGGAATGGTGCCTGGGATATTCCCGATAAGTCAAGGTGGTGATTACGTGTTTCTTGCTGGGCATAAGCAGGTATTGGTGTATCAAAGGAAAACAAGAATTTGGAAGGAAATGTATTCTGTGAAGAACAACTGTACGATGCCATTGTGGTTCTCTGCACATTCATTCCGGGGCACAATCTATAAGGTGTGTTAATTTACTTGAAACTTGAGCAGGGAGGTTGAAAAGAATGCTTTGTATATATCTATATCTATTGGTGAAAAGTTGGGATGTTTGAATGTGGTTTGTTGATTGCAAGTAGACAAATAAAGGTGGTTACTTCATCTTCATCTTCATCTTCATGGTTTTGAATTTGTTTTAATTTTCATGAAAAGAAAAAGAAGGGAGGAGTAGGAAAGCAGGCAGCCAAATAAGGGAAAAGAGACAACTTCAACTTGATTTCCTAAAAATAGAGAGAGCTCTCTATTTTGATGTTATGGTGGTAGGTAAAGGTAATTAATTATCTCTAAACCTTAACACGCTTTTACCTGAAAAAAAAAGGATTTCCTGAAAAACAAATAACCTCTCAACACATGTGACATGTTGATGTTATGCACCTACTACTACTTTTAACATCCAATCCTCTGTTACCTATCAGTCAAATGACCTTCTACTACCTATAAATTAAATAAACACACATCAAGAAGAGATGAAACCAAAACCCATTCTCGTCCCAATGGCAATGGCAATGGCAATGGCAACCACCTTTTATGTTCTCTGTTTCTTCCTATCCGTGGCTCCCGTGCCATTGCCTAAATCAGACCAAAATCTTTTGGAGTTCCCTTTGAATTTAGAATATATGGAAGCTGAGTTCTTTCTATATGGATCCATGGGTTTCGGTTTGGATCACATCCAACCCAATCTTACTGGTGGCGGACCACCACCCATCGGTGCACGCAAGGCAAATCTTACTCCTTTAATCACAGATATAATCACCCAATTCGGCTATCAAGAAGTTGGTCACATCAGGTCCATCCCTCAATTATTTTCTACTTAAACTTCTTAATGAATCATGTGCCTGATACGGGGATTGAACACACAACTATGTACATAATTAATTATCCCTTACAGGTGGTTAGTTTCCATAAAATGTTTGATGCATGCATATACGTACAGGGCAATAAAAAGCAGAATAGGTGGTGGATTTCGAAGACCACTCTTGAATTTAAGCGCAGAATCATTTGGCGCAGTAATAAACCAGGCATTCGGCAAGCCCTTATATCCACTTTTCGATCCCTATGCCAACGATATCAATTATTTGCTTTCCTCCTACATCATCCCTTATGTCGGTCTCACAGGTTATGTTGGTGCAAATCCATACCTCCAAACTCCCACCGCAAAAAAGGTTAATTTCGCCTTCAACTAACTAAAGCCTTGGCGTGAGTTTATTTACCATATATAAATATTAAAAAACAATTCATATCATTAGGAAAATTTACAAAAATAACCATTTCATTAAAATATTTTCACTTTTTAACTATTTTCCCCAAATAGGCTAATATTTACAAAAAGAAAGAAAACTTTACCTACAAATCATATTTCCACAGCATAAAGTTTATTTTTAGGGAAAAAAGAAAATGAATTTAAAAAGAGACTTTAGGTAGAAAAAAAGGATTTTATTATTTAATTTATTTTATATCCTTTCATTTTCATTTTCATTTTCATTATATTAACACACACACAACCGTATATTAATTAAAATATTTGGAGAAAGAGGTTTATAAGATGGTTAAAAAGTGAGACCACCTTAATAGATGGGTTATTTGTGTAAATTTCTCTAATTATTAACATGTTATCTACTTTTTTGTCATTATTATTTTTAAACCTTCACCCATATATGTATATGTATATGTATATGTATATGTATATGTATATGTATATGTATATGTATATATTGATGTTGATATATGTATTCAAAATTTGTATTACTAGCTTGTAGCCGGTCTTTTGGGAGTTGAATCAGGCCAGGATGCAATTCTTAGAAATCTTCTTTACGAACGAGCAACACTATGTGTAGTCCCATATGGTATCACAGTATTTGATTTCACTAACAAAATATCAGAACTACGAAACAAGTTAGGTCGTGCAGGCCTAAAAGACGAAGGTCTTGTTGTCTCACCTTACCTAGGTGCTGAAGGGAAGGTAAAGGGAAATGTTTTATCTGCAGATACAAACTCACTGTCGTATGGTCGAACACCAAAAGAAATACTTCGTATCGTGTATGGAAGTGGAAAAGAACAAGTTCCTGGAGGATTTTACCCTCATGGTGCTAATGGGACTATCGCTAGAAAATATTTAAAGGCCAAAATAAATTTAAAAGAATGATTTATTTTACTGATTAACGTTTGTAGTAAAGTATAAAAGATAAACTATATGTGACAAGTCTATATCATATCTCGATGCTTTTTTTTCTTCTTCTTTTCTTACTACTTTTATGTCACACTTGTTATATCAATAAAGTTTTTTTAATGCATAATTTCACAAATCATATTCCATTTCATAAACTACATACATACATACATGATGGTCTCAAGTTCACAAACTCAGTCCACACCCACTTGTCTGTTCTAATAGTTTTAACTCAACCCTGGTCGATCCACTTGATTGCTATCACGGTCACAGCTGACTAGATCCACTTAACATCTCATAGTCTCATGACCTACATTGAACAAGTTAATGCAAAATAAAATCCAACAAAACACATTCATGCATTTTTCAATACAACATACGTTAATAATTCATTATGACATTATCAAATAACGTTAAAAAATGAAACTTGTAAAAGTTATCACATGAAATTATAGGTCTTAAAAGCTTGTTCTTTCAATTTTCTGATTCTTGTGCCAATTCATAATTATATTTTTGAAAGCGACGCTAAACTTGCATCTTGTAGCATACCAAGTCAAGTAGTTGATTCTCTACATAAAATATAAAACAACCGCCTGAAAGTTACCATATAAGCTAGCTCAATCTTATTTAAGTTCACTCATGACAATTACGTCACTTAATTTTCCCTAAAATCCAGTTTTACTCGTTTCATCAATGACCAAAGTCACAAAATGTCTAAACAACTTTTTTGCATCTCCATTGATTCAAATTATGAGGTTTAGACTCCAAAAGTGAACGTTTAATGCCCTTATACGAAAATTTCGAAATAAAGCCAAGAACATAAAATGTCAATCACGTTTTCTTTTTTTGTTTATCCCGATGCTAGTTGTATACTGATACAATATAGTTGAGTGTAAATCTTGAATAGATAGATACCTAGTACAAATAGGTTTTTACCATTTACCATTTTTATGTTGAATGTAAGATAGAATAAAAAGCAAATTAATATTAAGGTTGTGAAAAACATGTTCCTTGTATGAAAATAACTAGTAGATGTTGTTGTTACGAGAATCTTCCTGATAGTCATCAATTCTAAATTTTCCAAGACTCGACTAATCGAGGTACAAGCAAGTTGCCTAGATGGCGATTTACAAGAGAATACGTATATTTGTAGATCACAAGGTTTGGGAACTTGCTCTTATTATACGTATCAACATGTTTAGATTATTATTAAAAAGCAATAAGATTCATCCGGTGCCAAAAAAGCATGTTCCATGTTTTGTGCCATAATTTCTCAAACACACTGCTTTGGACACCCCTATAAAAACAAACAAAACCTGCCTTGCCTTTTCAAAGTGTAAGCAAACAATTAAATCATGGGAGGAGTAGTGTTCCTCCTCCTCCTACTGGTACTGGTACTGGTGACAAATGCAAAACCCAGATTGCCTAAATCTGATACAAGTCTTTTAGAGTTCCCTTTGAATTTAGAATACTTAGAAGCAGAGTTCTTCTTATATGGATCTTTAGGCAGGGGTTTGGATCACATCCAACCAGATCTTACTGGGGGTGGGCCACCACCCATTGGTGCTAGGAGGGCTAATCTTACTCCTTTAATCAGAGATATAGTTGCCCAATTTGGTTATCAAGAAATTGGTCACATCAGGTTCCATCTCTTACCTAACCTCCTTTATATGTAATGTAATCACAGAAACCTGAACGCATCAAATAACTTCCTTTATATGTAAT